GATCATATTTCTCCTTCAGTCTGTTGATGTGATGTATTATGTTTATTGATTTGCAGGTGTTGAAGCTTCCTTGAATCTCCAGGATAAATCCCACTTGATCATGGTGTAATATTTTTTTGATGTACTATTGGGTTCTATTTACTATATTTTGTTGAGGATTTTTGTGTCTATATTCATCTGGGATACTGGCCTGTAATTTTCTTTATTTCTTACAGTATTGTCTGGTTTTGGTGTCAGGATAATGCTAGCCTCATAGAATGAATTAGGGAGAATTCTCTCCACTTCAAACTTCTGGAATAATTTAAAGATAATTGGTATTGATTATTCTTTTTAAGTTTGGTAGAATTCAGCGGTAAAGTCATCTGGTCCTGGACTTCAGCTGTAATGTCTCCTTTATTTCTGATTTTATTTATTTTTGTCTTTTTTCTTGGTTGGTCTAGCTAGTAGTTTATTAGTTTTGCCTATGTTTTCAAAAAGCCAACTTTTCATTGATCCATTGATTTTTTTTTTCTTATTCTGCATTTTGTTTAGTTCTGTCTGCTCTTTATTATTTCTTTCCTTCTACTCATTTTGGGACTGATTCTTGCTTTTCTAGTTTCTTAAGGTGCACTGTTAGATTATTTATTTGAAACCTTCCTACTTTCTAGATGTAGACTTTTATTGCTATAAACTTCACTCTTAGCACTATTTTTGCTGTATTCCATAGATTTTGGTATGTTGTGCTTTGATTTTCCATTGTTTCAAGAAATTTTTTGACTTCCTCTTTAATTTCATCCCTGACCTAATGATCATTCAGGAGCATATTTAAATTCCCTGTATTTTTAGTTTCCAAAGTTTCTCCTGTTATTGATTTCTAGTTTTATTCTGTTATGACCTGAGAAGATATCTGACATTTCAATTTTTCAAAAATAGTTGAGACTTGTTTTCTGTCCAAACATAACCACATGGAACTGGAGAATGTTCCATGTGATGATGAGAATGCATATTCTTTAGATGCTGGATGCTATGTTCTGCAAACGTCTCTTAAGTCCATTGGTCTAAAGTGCAGTTTAAATACAATGTTTCTTTGTTAATTTTCTATGTAGATGATCTATCTAATGTTGGAGTATCCAGCTATTACTGTATTCATGTCTCTCTCCTTTTAGATGTAATAAGATCTGCTTTATATATCAGGTGCTCCAGTGTTGGGTCCATATATGTTTAGAATCATTGTTTAGCTGAATTGATTGCTTTATAATTATATAACAACCTTGTTTCTTTGTACTGGTTTTGACTTAAAATCTGCTTTATCTGATATAAGCACAGCTAGTCCTGCTTGGTTTTGGTTTTTTGGTTTCCTTGTGCATGGAATATCTTTTTTTTCCATCCCTTTACTTTCAGTCTGTATGTCTTTACAGGTGAGATGAGTTTCTTGTAGGCAGCATGTAGGTGGATCAAGTTTTTTTTTCTTTAAATCTGTTCAGGTAGTCTCTATCTTCTAAGAGGAAAGTGTAATCCATTTACATTCAAGGTTGTTGATATGTGAGGGCTTATTCCTATCATTTTATTAATTTATTTCTGGTTGTCTTGTATATTCTTTGTTTCTTTCTTTCTCTCTTATTGTTTATCATTACGGTTTGGTGGTTTTCTGTGTTTGCTTTACCAGTGGATTTCATACGTTAGTGTATTGCCATGACGGTAGATTTCATCCTTTTGCTTATGCTAAAGGATGCATAGGACTCCTTTAAGTATTTCTTGTAGGGCTGGTCTAGAGGTGATGAATTTCCTCAGCTTTTACTCGTTTCAAGGGAGTCTTGATTTCTCTTTCATTTATGAAGAATAATTTTGCCGGGTATAGAATCTTTTGCTGGCAGTTTTTTTTTTTCTTTCAATACTTTGAATATATCACCCCATTCTCTCCTGGAATGTAAGATTTCTGCTGAGAATATGCTGTTAGTCTGATGAAGTTTCCCTTATAAGTGACTAGTCACTTTTGTCTTGCTATTTTTAGAATTCTCTCTTTGACTTTTGACTTCTGAGAGTTTGACAATAATGTGCCACAAAGAAGACTTTTTTGAATTTAATCTGTTTGGGAATCTCTAAGCTTCCTGTATCTGGATGTGTAAATCTCCTGCTAGACTTGGGAAGTTTTCAGCTATTGTTCCATGAAATAGGTTTTCTATCCCTTTTGTCTTCTCTTTGCCTTCTGGGACACTGGAAGTATTTAAAAAGCCAGGCGTGGTAGTTCCTGCCTGTAATCCCAGCACTTTGGGAGGCCAAGGCAGGCAGATCATTTCAAGAACAGCCTGGCCAACATGGTAAAACCCTGTCTCTACCAAAAATACAAAAAAATTAGCCAGGTGTAGTGGCTCATGCCTGTAGGCATAGTAATTGCTTGAACCCGGGAGGCAGAGGTTGCAGTGAGCCGAGATCACACCACTGCACTCCAGCCTGGGCGACAGAGTGGTACTCCGCCTCGGAAAAAAAGAAAATTAAAAAAAAAACTGGCCACTTATGGTGTCCCTTACGTCATGTAGGGAAAGATGGAGCCAGGCTAAGCAGGCCTTTACTCAGGATTCCTGGTGGGAACAGCAGTAGCTATGCTATTCTTAGGGAGGGTGGTGTGGCTTTTAGTGGCAGCAGCCATGAACAGGAGGTTGGGAAGTACACACTTTGGCCCTAGTCATGGCTATAAGCAGGGTAGCCTTTCCTAAGGGTACTTTTAATTGTGCAGTGGTCTTGCTACTAGAGGCAGTGGGGTTGCTTGCTGCCAATGGCTCACACTTCAGCCCTGGTGGCAGCTGACCACAGCAGCCCCAGCTGAGTCTGGGGGAAGTCAATGGGGCTCCAGAGATGTGGAGATGCAGGGGCTGTTGGGTGTCATGGCAGGATGCAGTCTTGTGGGAGCTGGGCTCTCAAAATGGTGCCTTGTGTGGGACTTGGCATGTGCTCCCTTACTGGAGCAATGCTATCACATGGTCTCCAGGCAGTTCCCTATGTTTGTCTCAGGGCCTGTATGGGTCAAAAGAGCTCTTCTGTGGCTAGAACTGCAGAATCCATGGTGGGAATATAAACTGCTAGAAGTCACTCACTTAGCCCTTCCCCACACTGGGGAGCTGCTCTAGGCTCCTAATTGATCCTGTCAAGCAGGCTGCCTCGCTTCCTCTCCTTCATCACTTTAGGTGTTTCCTGTCACTTCCCTGTTGAATTCCAGCATTCTCTCTAAGGTAATCTATTTGAAGTGAGATTATTGGCTCACTATTTTGGTTCTTATTTGTGGAGGAGGCAAGTACCCAATACCTCTAGTCAGACATCATGGTTAAATTTTGTCTGTCAATTTTTATGCTTTCTACATTTCCTCAATTTTATAATCAAACCAAAGTTTCAAAATTAGAAAAGGTGTTAATTCTAAGTAGTGGGATTAGCACTAGTTTTCATAACTAGAAAAAAAGTACATAGTATTTTAAAAATTAAGAAGAAGGAAAAAAGAAAAAGACAGACCACCTCAAGAATAATGCAGTACTTCAAATTTCTTATGTTTGTTATTTATAGAAGCATCAAGCTAGAAGGTAAACAGACATAAAGAAGGGAAACAGTGAGAAAGAGGCTTTAGAATAAGTGGAACATGTAGAATAAATGGAAAGAAACATGTTTATCACAGTTTCAGAGAGGGTAAATTGGAAACGTTTAACTTAGAGATCCAAACAGGACACAAACATGTAAAAGACTACAAAAAAATGATAAGCATACAGAAGCTTCCTTCCAGTTGCAAAGTGTTGAAGATATACCTATTATCAAGGGATAGTCACAGACAAACTTCAAGCCTTGTCTGTTTCTCAACTATTTCCTTAAAAAAAAAAATTATAGGTTCCTGGTCATGCTAGGAGTTTCCTTCAACTCATTTTTTTCTAATCCCTATTGTAATTCAGATGATAAAAATATAATTGAAATACATATTATACACCAGAAACTATTCATATCTTCTTTAAATTTCCTTCTCATCAATTTTTCAATACATGTTTAATTCCCCAATTTCTAGCAACGATAATATTTTCTCTTTCCACCAGGATTTCTGGGGTCCATAAAAACCAGTAGGTGTATCTGTATCCAAAAATGAAGCAGAAGTTTGTGTTGGACATAATAAGGTATTATTGACAGATGCAGACAAATACCTAGGCAGATGGGGTGGGGCCCCAGTAAAAACCCCACCTCCAAGACAAAGACAGTTTAAAGCCTGAAAGCCAAGCTACAAGTTAAATTCCTGGACCAGACTGAGAACTTGTCTTCCCATTTGCACACTTTCTTCTGATTGTTCTCCACCCTTTACCTATTTTACATATACTTACCCTTTCCTACTTGTTTTTTCTACACTGTTGTGCCCACCTTTGAGTGGTGCCTTCACTTTCACCTTTTTTGCATACTCACAAACCAATCAGCACACAGTCCCCATTCTGGGTCCATAAAGGCCCCAGACCCAACCACATGGCGTAACTATCCCCAACCTTGTGTCCCATCTCTGCTGAAAGCAGTTTTCATCACTCATTAAAATTCTTCCCCACCCTCTTCACTCTCCAGTGTCCCTCATATCCTCATTCTTCTTGGACATAGTACAAGAGCTTGGGAACCGCTGAACGTGGGTACGAGCTATAACACAGCCAAGCTGGGGCACACCAGCATGGCCGAGCAAGGCCTGGGTAGGGTATTGCCAGCTGAGGGTCCCCAGCTTGCAAAGTGACCAAGCAGAAAAATCCTGCATCATTATTTCCTTATCTGAAAAACCCCATCTTCTGATCACCAACCAGCCTGATAGTCAGAATCAAGAACAGCTGTTCAAGAAAAGCTGTTACACTGTTCTAAAATGTTCACTAACTGCTTTCTGTCTTAGCTCCCCATACAGAAGTTCAGATCCCAAACGACAGGTGACAGAGATTCCGGTTTTAGGTGAGAAAAACACTGGACTAATGCACAGAGTAGGTTTCACATCAATACTTCTGGATGGCTGCGAAATGCCATTTACTTACCCAATTCTCTTCTATTATTCCAATGTTATATTTATCATCCTCGCCTAGGTCAATTTGTTGTTTTTGCTCAGCATAAAATTCCTGGAGAGCTGCTAAGGCGTGGGCAGAAAGCTGGGGTGTCTCGTCATCTTCCAAATCACTCATTTCACAAGTTGTTTATAACCTGCAGATCAAGAAATAAATGTTCTGTGCAGATTTTGTTTCCCCTTCCCATCCAGAAATGACTTTTTACAAATTTTGTTGGCCGGGCGTGGTGGCTCACGCCTGTAATCCCAGCACTTTGGGAGGCTGAGGCAGGCAGATCACGAGGTCAGGATATTGAGACTATCCTGGCTAACATGGTGAAACCCCATCTCTACTAAAAATACAAAAAAAAAATCAGCCGGGCGTGGTGGCAGGCACCTGTAGTCCCAGCTATTCGGGAGGCTGAGGCAGGAGAATGGTGTGAACCTGGGAGGTGGAGCTTGCAGTGAGCCGAGATCAAGCCACTGCACTCCAGCCTGGGCTACAGAGTGAGACTCCGTCTCAAACAAAACAAAACAAAACAAAACAAAAACAATTTTGTTTAACAGCAAGGATCCAAACTGAAGTGAGTTTTATACAAGTAAACCAAAAATGAAATTCTAAGCCCCCCAGCCAACTGAATAAATCCCTCTTCTGGGGCCAAGTAAACCTGAAAAACCAGGCCACGGTGGAAGGACATGTCTCATTATACTCTCCTTCCTTTGGAATTCAGACACAACTGACCAGTATTAACATTAAAACAGAGATCTAAAGAGTGACAAAACAGACTCTTTGTAACAATAAGATATCAAATTCCAATCTGACTCTAGTATAGCACACACAACAGATAACAGGCCCCAAAAGAAGTTGAAGTATTTTATCCCCAATATCCCCAAATATATTTTCTGATTTTTGTTTTGTTTTGTTTTGTTTGAGACAGAGTCTCGCTCTGTCACCCAGGCTGCAGTGCAGTGGCCCAATCTTGGCTCACTGTAAGCTCCACCTCCCGGGTTCACTCCATTCTCCTGCCTCAGCCTCCCGAGTAGCTGGGACTACAGGCGCCTGCCACCACATCCGGCTACTTTTTTGTATTTTTAGTAGAGACTGGATTTCCCCATGTTAGCCAGGATGGTCTCCATCTGCCGACCTTGTGATCTGCCTGCCTCAGCCTCCCAAAGTGCTGGGATTATAGCTGTGAGCCACTGCACCCAACCTTTTGACATATTTTGAAATGGCCCTGAAAAGTTGTCTCCTGTGGAGAAAATCTACATACTACAGAGAATCCCCTTCCCTTTCCAGGTCTTCTCCGGACCCAGGAGAGATTAAGAGTCTGGCACCTTTTTCGGTCTGATAGAGGCATTTAGCATCACTTCTCTCTGAAGCCTGCTGCCTGCAGGCTTCATCTACAGAATAATAAGAACCTTGGTCTCCAGAATCCCTTATCTTAATCCAGACACTCCTTTCCATTGATTCCCAGATAATAACTTAACTCTTTCAACCAACTGCCAATCAAAAAAACTTTGACTCTACCTATGACCAGGAAGCCCTCCACTTCCAGTTGTCCTGCCTTTCTGGACCAAACCAATATATACCTTACATGTACTGATTGATGTCTTATGTCTCCCTAAAACATATAAAGCCAATTTCTTCTGAATAGTTTTATTTACATATACATCAAACAAATTATGGCATATAAATCATGTATCATATTTTGGCTAGCTTATACATCCTCAGTATGAGAAACAGATGGTCAACATAAGAGTAGATCATACTGTCCAAAGCAATCTACAGATTCGATACAATTCCTAACAAATTACAAACATCATTTTTCACAGAATTAAAAAAAAATTCTAAAATTCATATGGAACCAAAAAAGAGAATGAATAGCCAAAACAATCCTAAGCAAAAAGAAGAAAGCCAGAAGCATCCCATTACTTGACTTCAAACTATACTACAAGGCTATAATAACCAAAACAGCATGGTACAGGTTAAAAAATAAAAACAACCAAAAAAAAAAAAAAAACAAACCAGATACATAATGGAATACAATAGAAAACCCAGAAATAAAGCCACACACATATAATCAACTCGTCTTCGACCAAGTCAACAAAAATAAATAATGGAGAAAGGATATTCTATTCAATAAATGGTGCTGAGAAAACTAGCCATTTGCAGAAGAGTAAAACTTGACGCCTACCTCTTACCAGATACAAAAATTAACTCAAGACATATTAAAGACTGAAATGTAATACCTCAAACTATAAAAACTCTAGGAGAAAATATAAGAAAAACTCTTTTGGACATTGGCTTAGGCAAATAATTTATGACTGAGACCTCAAAAGTAATTGCAACAAAATCAAAAATTGACCAATGATAAAGCTCTGCACAGCAAAAGCAACAATCAACAAAGTAAATAGACAACCTACAGAATTGGAAAAAATATTTGCAAACTATGCATCCAACAAAGGACTAATATATAGAATCTATAAGAAAATTAAATCAACAACAAAAAAAACACAAAGAATCACATTAAAATATGGGCAAAGTACACGATCAAAATAAGGCATACAAGTGCCAAGAAACATGAAAAAATGCTCAGCATCACTAATTATCAGAGAAGTGCAAATTAAAATCACATTGAGATGCCATCTCACACCAGTCGGAATGGCTATTACTAAAAAGTCAAAAATAGGCCGGGCGCAATGGCTCAGGCCTCTAATCCCAGCACTTTGGGAAGCCCAGGCGGGCAGACCACGAGGTCAGGAGATCGAAACCATCCTAGCTAACATGGTGAAACCTGTCTCTACTAAAAATGCAAAAAAATTAGCCAGGTGTGGTGGCGGGCGCCTGTAGTCCCAGCTACTCGGAAGGCTGAGGCAAAAGAATGACGTGAACTCGGGAGGTGGAGCTTGCAGTGAGCTGATATTGTGCCATTGCTCTCCAGCCTGGGCGACAGAGCAAGATTCTGTCTCAAAAAAAAAAAAAAAAAGTCAAAAAATAACAGATCCGGGCAAGGATATGAGAAAAAGGAATGCTTACACACTGCTGGTATGAATGTAAGTTAGTTAATCCTATGGAAAACAAAAAGACCCTTGTACTAGTCTGTTTATTGCAGGGCTATTCACAATAGTAGAGCCATGGAATCAACGTAAGCGTCCTATCAAAGGTGGGCTGGATAAAGAAAATGTGGTACATATACACCATGGATTAGTACACAGCCATAAAAAAGAGTGAAATCATGTCCTTTGCAGCAACATGGATGCAGCTAGAGGCTATTATCCTTCGTGAAATAAAAGAGAAACAGAAAACCAAATATCACAGGCTCTCACTTGTAGATGGGAGCTAAACAATGGGTACAGGTGGACATGAAGACAGAAATAATAGATACCAGGGACTCCAAAAGCGGAGCGGGAAAGAGTAGGGGAAGGATTGAAAAAACTACCTATCAGATACTATGTTCAATATTGGGTGATGGGTTCACTAGAAACCCAAACTCCAGCATCACCCAATATACCCATGTGAAAAACCTGCACATGTATGCCCCGAATCTAAAATTAAAAATAAAAATAAGACCTTTTTTAAAAATTAAAAAATATACATATTCTAAAAAATAAAACTTAAAAAGAATTCACAGACAAAACAAATACATCAAAATAATGGACATACTTAATGCTGATGAGAATGTAGTGATATTGGTATACTCTCTAATTTAGGTAACAATTTAAATTGGCATAATCTTTTGGAAAGGAATCTGATAATTTGGACATAAATATTTCTACTTTCTACACCAATTCTCATTCCTAAGCTTTCTACTCTGAAATAATCACAGATTCACAGGAGGTTGCAAAAATAATGGAGGTCTATCCATGTATCCTCCTTCCACCTATTTTTCCACAATGGTAACAACTTATATAGCTACAGTACAATGTCAAACCAGGAAATGAACAGTACAATCCACAGAGCTCGTTCAGTTCAACAGTTTTACACACATTTATTTGCACATGTATGCACATGTGTATAGTTCAAATAATGCTATCACTGTAGATTCATGAAAACACTTCCTTGGATAAGAGACAGAATATACCAGCACCACAGAGAAGAGTTGTACTACCTTTTTAAAGTCATTCCCATCCTCTCCCACCTCACCCTCCATTCCTAACCCCTGGAGAGCATGAATTTGTTCTCCATTTCAATAATTTTGTCACTTCAAGAATTTTAGATAAACGGAATCATACATTACACAACTTGAGATTGTCATTTTTCACTCAGCATGGTTTAAAATTTACCCAGGATGTTCTGTGTATCAATAATTCATTCCTTTTTATTGCTGAGTAGTAATCCATAGTATGGCCACACTTTACTTAACCATTCACCCCCTAAAACATTTGGGCTGTTTCCAATTTTAAGCTATTACAAATAGAGCTGTTGTGAACATTCCTGTATAATGTATAGGAATTTTCATTTTTATTTCTCTGGATAAATGCTCAAGAGTATGATGTTGGATTTTATGGTTAGAGTGTGTTTATTTTGAGGACATCAAAAAATTTATTTCATGATGCTAAATTAAAAGAGAGTTTTATCAAATGAAGAACTGAATCCCTGTACTATGCGGTTTACTGTGGCCAGAGAAGTCAGGGTTCTCTTTGCAATCATGTAGTTTGTTTTTGAAATGCCTATTGAAGTGAAATGTACAAATTTTAAAACATCCTTATTGAGATCTAATTCATATACCATACAATTCATCTATTTAAAGTGTACAATTCAGGTGGAATGTGGGAGGCTGGGGCAGGAGGATCACTTGAGCCTAGGAGTTTGAGGCCAGCCTGGGCAATACAGTGAGACCTTGTCTCTACAAAAATGTTTTTAAAAATAAGCTGAGTGTGATGGCATGTGCCTGTAGGCCCCGCTACATGGGAGGCTGAGGTGGGAGGATCGCTTAAGTCCGGAGGCATAGGATACAGTGAGTCAAGATCATACCACTGTACTCCAGCCTGAGTAACAGAACGAGAACCCGTGTCAAAAAAAAATAAAGATAAAAAAATAAAGTGTATAATTCAATGACTTTTAGTACATTCAGAGTTGTGCAACCATCACTATAATCATATTTTAGAACATTTTCAAAACTCCCAAAAGAGTTTTACTCTTTTTTTTTTGCCATGA